CAAAATTCAGAAGGTCTAGAAAAGAAGGTTGAATGACAAGTACAGGGAGGAAGCAGGAAACTGATTCTACAGTGAGAGGACTGCAATCGTTGAAATGAAGTCCATGGTCTGTCTATTCAATGGAAACTCACGTGTAAAGGTTCACTCAATTCACAATAAAAATCAAACAAAAAAACACCAAACAAAAGGTAATGCAACTATTCCATGACCTCTGAGAAGAACTCTATTTATAACAATCACAAATGAGTCCGTGGCTTTTTATTTAAGTCCTATCTGCAGAAGAGAAATAATTCACTTTAATCAGATCCCTTTCTTTCTAGTGGGTATGGATCTTTGGAATGGATACATCACAGCTTTTGGATGCACAACATAAACCCAGCCCCAAGTACACTGGGTATAACTAAGTGAATGAATCTACCAGAGCACATCAGAAGGCTCATGTGTAAGATACTCGTGCAGACAAGAGACTAAGCTCCACCCCCACCCCCACCCCCACCCCGAGTTAGGAGTTCCAGGTTCTATGGTCACTTTTATAATCTCTCAGAGCTGGCTAAAAGTCACACTGCTGCCTCGCTTCTTTTCGATTGTGATTTGGAATGCTGTCAAATATCATTAGCATTTTTCGAGATGATAAAGAAATACCTATAAAATGTATCATCTCTTCAGGACATACAAGACAAAATAATGACCGCTATTTACAAGCACACCGCGAAGGCCACGGGAGTGCCGCCATCTTAGTGGCGCCAGTTTTGATTAGCTAAGAGACCCACAGGTAATCACAGAAGAGCTACTGATAGCTTTCACCTTTGAGACCCAACTACACGGGACGTGGAAATAGTTCATCAAGGAGACAATCTGCTTTGTCAATAGCTGGTACACCTGTTTTTGGAAAAACAATACACTTATGTGATACTTGAAAAGAAACAGAAGTAACAGCGCTAAGCTATTGTTCAAATCTGAACTCCTCTGCTGATCATTAGCAGTAGTCTCAAACGTCCCGTTTTTTGGTCTTCATTGATGCCAAACCCCTGACAAGTCTGCAACAAGATTTTAATTCCAAAATGTCAATTCTGCTTGGGGTGCACAAAATAATCTGTCCTCCCTTTTTCTAAACACACCATCATTTGAAATCTCCCTCAAATCAAGCTGTGTACGCCTATGTACCCACCCAGCAAGCCCACAGCAGCTGAGTCCATTCTGATTCATGGCGACCCTGTGAGATCATAAAAGAGAACTGCCCCATCTGGGGTTCCGGCCCATAAATCTTCACAGAAGCAGACTGCCTGCCACTCCTTTCTTCCAAAGAGCAGCTGTTGGATTTGAACCAGCGATCTTTTCAGTTAGCAGCCAAGCTCTTTAACCACCGTACCACCGGGGCTAGTGCCCCTGTATAGGGCTTCCGAGAAGCGGCTGGTGGGTCTGAACTGCCAACCTTGCAGTGAGCAGTACAGTGCTTACTCTACAGCACCACACCAGGACTTCCAGGATAGAAGGAGTGGAAATTCCCAGTTACTTTGCTTCAATTTCCTGCAGGCTGATAAATGAACTCAAATTCAGTGCACTGAACTCACTGAACCACTGTGAGTGGCTAAGAGCTGACGACTCTCGATAGTGGTGGTGGTCTTTATATCACACTCTTCCCCAATTCCCAGAGATCGGAAACACTCACTAATGAACAGAGAGCAGAGTTTTGGGTTTGTTGGTTTCTTTCATTAAATAGCTGGGAACATTAAAATGTTAAGACACACTTGAAATAAAACATGAGTCCAATAACGTTTTTAACCAGATTTATGTTTTGTTTTTTGTTTTTTAATTCAAATTGACCCAAAGCAAAACTTACGTTACAAAGGAAGAACAAAATACATTATGATAATAACACACGAGGATTTACATGAAAGCTAGATTTGGGGTAAATGTCCTCATTCCAATCACATTCTGGGCTAATGAGCAATTTTGCAGAAAGTCAGGCTCTCTATTTCATATGGTCCACTCTGGTCATTAAACTACACATTCTTGTCTCTTAGGGTGCATCTGACAAGTCACACTCCAGATGTGATCCTCACTACTGCCAGAATACTCAATTCTCTAGTGGAAATGCTGTTCCAAGCATGACTGATAATGGATCACAAAACAAACCAGTCAAGTCTTCCAAACTAACAAGCGTGGGTGATTATTCTGTAGTAAATAGTTCAAGAATATGGAAATTAAATAATCTAAAAACACTCTTACTCTGCTGTACATTTATCAACACAAATATTTACACACACAAAAAACCCCAAAACAAACAAACAAAAAAAAACTCTTTTTGAAAAGATGAGGTTTGCAGTTCATTAATGAGCATACTCTTTTGTGAGCCAGTTTCTTTGGTGTATTTGCCAAATATAGTTTATAAAGGTTTAGTCACAGGCTTAAATAATACGTTTTTAAAAATATATAGCAGGATCAATGACAAATCTGATAGGTTCTGAGCATTTTAGTCAAATTCTGGAAAAACCGATTATTAGTTGATTTCCTGAAAATATTTGTTCTACTCATTCTGTGACTCCAGAATGCTTCTCAGTCAAATCCAATTCAAACACAGACCTGGTACACTTATCACAGTATTCCACTAATGACCAACGTGGAGAAGTTTTAGGTATTGTTAAATATGATGTGTGACTGGGATTTTACTAACAATAAAAACAAAGCATTTTTTATGTGTCCAGATAATTCAAACATCAAATAAATAAGGGAATTATACGCTTCTCCATTATAGAGAAACTTCAATCCAGGAAGAGCGCTCATAAATTTTTTTTTTTTTTTTCTCTGAAGTCACAGCAGCAGAACAGAACAAAGAATTTACCTTAATCGGATCTTTTTACTCGGAATTCCCTGACTCAATCTCAGTGGCTAACTTAGTTTGCAAATCTTTGAGTGGTTGGGGAAAGAAAATCATTTGAAATGCACTGAATTAATACATATGTGAGGAGTAAGTCCTATCTGAATGGAACGGTAAGGTTTCTGTGGACAGGGCAGGCCTCCCAGGCACCCTTCCTGTCTCGTCTCCCTGGGCCGAGGCTTTGAGAAAGAAGCGACACTCCACCTATTTCTGGGTATGCCATGAATGGCCCTGACACCACAAATGTGCCACCGCTCTGGCCTGGATATTGTTTAAAGAACGAGGCCAGACTTCTGCCCTTTTATTCACATGAGACTCTTTTGTGGCGATAACATTTGGGGATACATTTTGACTGGGAAAAGGATACACCGCCCATTCCTATATATTAGGTACAAGTGACAGTTTGGGAGCCGTTACGAAATCAGCCTAACTCTGGATGGCTGCCTACGAAAGAGTCCATGGACCACACCAGCAACCCTCCAGAGCATTCGTTTCGTGAAGCTGCTCACTCACCAGACACCTGGGCCTGCTTTGGCACACCCGACCAGATGCTCTGATGCCAATGCTATTCTGAATCCAAGGGACCACACTTTGTGCTTGGGGACCGAGCACCGCTGCCTCAGGAAACAGGCGAAGCGAGAGCAGACTCCTCCTGCATTTCTGGTCTTAGTTACACACCTCGGTTGAAATAAGGTTAAGCTTAAGGACTCAAAAGGAGATACTCTTTTCGCTTTGAAAACGTCTGCCAGCAAACTTATCACTGGTGTGTAAATACTCTGACATTTCCCAAAGCACTAAGAACAATACTGGACATTTGACGAGGTTCCCCTAAAGCTAAGACCAGGCCAAATCAAGCACAGAACACATTTTCAACGGCATCATCTTTGATTGCTATTGGTACAGACACATTATCAGATCCATGTTTACCCTGCCAACATATGCCCAATCAGCTCAGCAACGAAAGTCAGTCTCGTGAAGAGCTTTACTGTATCACCTCTAAACAGACACGAAATGTTGAATTAACATATCCGGAATCAACCAGGCTCAAAAACGTGTATCCATTAGAAATTTTACTCTTGAAATAGAAAGAAACGAAACATCACGAAAGCATCCCAGATTATTGAACTGATAAAGCCAAATGGTTTGAGAATATTTGGGGCTGTTTTTAAGGAATACTCTATAACCAGGAAATGACGTTTTCTGTCGAAAGTGGGGTGAAAAGCAAAGCCTCCAATGGCAATGGCACTGCCACCGTAGGGTTCTGCCACGACAGTTACAGTGGTGGTGCGTGTTCTCGGGCCTGTGAGAGCTGACTGTGGAATGACGAACCCCAAAGGGAGCAATGGATCAAACACACCAGTAAACGTATTGCACAGGAGACACCGCTTTAAAAACAGAATGCACTGGCATTAGAACGTGATTTTCTTTCCCATTTTTAAAAAGCACAATTTAGCTAGAGACAGAAGTTGAGACCCAAAGTCTCTGGGTAGTGTACTACGGCTGTTAAAAAAATAAGTAAGCACACCAACAGGAAAGCGAGGTACTGGATTTATGCTGTTTGAAAGTTACATCAATTAGGAAAAGAACAGTTTGAAACAGCCAATTTGTACTCGTTAAAAATGAAGGAGGTGACAGCATCAGTTATGGAATTTCTCAGGGTTATCTTCAGATATAACCCAGTAACCCCACCCCCCACCCCCACCAGGGTGAAACTGGGCCTCCAAATGTTACTTCAACAAATGCTTTGCTGGTTTAGAATGCACGCCAATAAAACCTGAAACAATTTGGAAAGGGTAAGTTCTCCACTCTGACTCTGCCTGTTTCATTTTGGAAAAACAATTTTTCTATATGCAGTATTGTATAGAAGAAAGCTTGGACCTCATAAACTTGGACCAAGAAACCAAACTCAGACCTTCAAGCATGTGGTGTGTGTGTGTTTATATATATAAAAATCCCTCCCCTACAATGAAAACCAAACAAAACCCCCAAAAACCTAGAAGTGTATACCTGCTTTCTGACTTCACAGCAATCAGAAATTGCATAGGATATACTTTGTGCAAGGCAAAACCCCTTTTAAGTATCAGGAACATAACTTGTCATCTCGCTCACAGCTCTGTGAATATCAGATATCATCAAACTTGTGTTTTAAGTAGTCTTTCATGACCTTGGCAATTGGCAGATCATCAAGTAGTTTTAGGTTTTGGAGGCCTATGCATTGTCGAATTTTAATTCGGCACAGGTCCTGTAAGTTTCTGGGCTGCCCTAGAAAGACAGAAAAGAAGAAAATGTTACAAAGCATAATATTTAAGGCAATCTTTTAGATTCTGAAAAGAATTCTATCTCTGGGAAGTGACTTTACAAGCCAAGCATTGGGTGCAGAGGAGGCCAACTGGAGTGTTGTAGGGACCTCTTTGTGAAGTCTCTTCTCACGTGACCCTTCTCACAATCTGGGATTGGGAGCGGGACTGACACTTGCAGCTTCGTTTTGTAGATAAGGATACTAAGAAGCAAAGATCTAAGGAAACTCTTCTGTATCAGACAACCAAGTAAACCACTAGACAAGAGACTGAAGCCAATTCTGATTCTGAGTCTGGTGTTCTTTCTGCCACAAATAGGAATGATGTTCGCGTCCTGGCTACACCGCTCATATGCTGGATCAACCTGTGTGAACGAATCGCTCAGTTTCTCTGATCCTTGGTTTCTCCGTCTCAAATGTGAGTTTGTCACTCTCTTTCGAGGACGCTGGAGACCAGGCACACAACCAGTCTCTGGGAGATTTCCCAGACTACACCCGCCCACCTGCTCACCGTCATTCTGGATGGAGCACTGTCCAGATGAGGGAAGGAGGGAGGAAGAGCAGAGAGAAGTTTGCAAAAGCACCTCAAGCTATTTTGAATTGATGCCTCGAAACCTCAAGACCTGACCACCTGCCAATAGAAACCCTGCTGTAACTTAACACGAAAAGAAAAATCATAAAATCCAATTTCCTTTACTTCCAAAATACTTGGACCAAAACAATACAGATGACCACAAACCCAAAACTTCTTAAGCAACACTTCAACAGTGCTGGAATTCACATAAAGTAGGTCTTCAAATTAAACAGTAGTGTAACAACAAAAGCTAACCTATACTGAATGCTCACTGTATGCTATGTATTGTTCTAAGCTCTTGACACACAGCGACTCCTCCTTTATTCATTCAATGAGGGATGTACTTAGATCACCACCTCCATTTTACTGATTTCCTGAGCCTCAGAGATGAAGTAACACGCTGAAAGTCACGTAGAACACCATTACTTCAGCGGGTCTCAAACTTCCTGGTCTCAAAACCTCTTTACAGTTAAAAAAAAAAAAGAAAAGAAAGCTACTGAGAATCCAAAAGAACTTTGTTTATGTGCTTACATTTATCAACATTTAACATATTTGCAGATAAAACAGAAATTTTAGAAACACTTGTTAATGCCTTCAAAATTAACAAAACTCTTACTATATGGTAACGTAAGTAACACTGTTATTTATTAAAAATATATTTCCCAAAACAAAGAGGAAGATAAAAAACCCGAGTGGGAAAAGTGGCTACATTCTATAGACTCTATGGTCTGGTTTAATGGAAGGCAGTCAATTCACCGTAGGCTTTGCATTCAATCTACTGAGATAAAAGAACTACAGGCTTACACTCAGAACAAAAAGACTGTGAAGAAATAGTACTAGTATTATTATGAAAGTCATTTTACAGATACCCTGAAAGGGCTCTGGGAAGTCCACGGGTCCCTAGACCACGGTTGGATACTGGGGTTGTACTGGATAATTTATCTCTTACTTGAATTGTACTTGTTTTTAGTGGCAAACATTATTCAAAATTAATTCTTCATAAATGAAATGGCTTCTTAAAAGCTCAGACCTCTGCTCTGCACACAGGCCTTCCAGGAGCAACTTAATGTGTGGTCTCTTAACAGTCAACAAGAGATACTATTGGTTTCCTGGAAGGTAACTGGGGATGTTATGTACCCACAGATGCGTGCCCTGGGAGCCCACCCTGATGTGTCTCTTGGTGTGGTTATGACACCTTCATCTTTCAGATCTTTGTTACAATGCACTTCATCGGGGATACAAGGTCAGGCTCCGTACGAGGTACCCTCAGAGCTCCTCTCTTCTGTGGCACTTACAAGGGTGAGTTCACATTTACTTGGGGATGTACTGATGCTCAGGGTCCTTCCTGTTTAGCACGTTTCATGAGAGCTAGCTTCTGGTGCCAATCTAAAGCCAACGTATGACACAGCACTCAACTAAAACTGGTTAAATGAATGAAGTTTAAAAGCATAAGTGGCAACTCATTGAAATACTAACAATGTCGAACAGCAAGTCATTTTCTAGCCTGTTCTGGATAGTTTTTCATCACCATTAGGGATGATACCTTTATGAAGTTATCACTGCCAGGTTTCAAAAAGTACTTACATTATTTGATCTTCAACTACAACGCAGAACACGAATGAGATGTGAATCTTCTTTTTAAAAAAATGAAGAATTTGATTTTCCTAATAGACGATAGCTTCTTATCAAGTATAGTTTTAATAAAAAGAATCACCTCAATACATTCAGGTAAAAACAGACATGGGAAAAACATATATATTCTAAGATAAGACAAAAAGTATTCTTACAAAATAACAGAAACCTTTCTTAAACATGTGCTTTCTCAACACATCCTCCACCTAGGTCCATACACTTGGAAGGCACGGTTCCCATTTCTTTAGCTCTTTCCTAAAGAACTCTACACTCTGATTTACATCACATCAAAATGGCAGTTTTGGCATCCTTGGGGGACTCAAATCATGTTCCTTTGAAATGTTCTTTGAGTTTTAGGAATAAGAAGAAGTCTTAGGAGTAAGATCAGGGAGACAGTATGGATAGGGTAAGGTTTGCCAATGAATTTCTCATAGGACAGTCCTTGTTATCCTCAAAGAAACAGCAGGTGCATCGTTATGAAGGACAAGAATTCTTCAGTGCAACTGGGTTGGTTTTCTTCTAATGCAGTTTTCAATCCACTTAAATTTTCCTAATAATAAGCTCCTGTGATCCTCCTGTGTCCTGTGAGAAAATCTATCAGGATTTCACCTTTGCAGTCCCCAAATGCATTCACTAGAACCTCTGAGCTCATCTCTTTGTCTTGAATTTTACTGGCCCAGGAAATCCCCTAAGAAGCCACTTTTTTGATAGGACCTAGTTTGAAACTACCAGCTGTTCCGCCGGAGAAAGATGAGGCTTTCTGCTTTTGTAACAATTTACAGCCGTGGAAACCCTATACAGGGTCACTATGGGTCAGAACCGACTCAACGGCACTTAACAACAACAACAATCCGGTGCGGTACTTTGGATAAGCAATAGACCACACGATTGGTTTGAATCACAAGGTCAGTGGTTCAAACTCATCAAGCGCTCCTTGGAAATCCTGTACAGGGTCACTGTGAGTCGGAATCCCCTTGACCGCATTTAACAATAGCATTGACACCTAGGGAGTCTTGTTGTGGCGCTCTAGGATCAGCACTAGACTGCTAACCACCAGACTGGTGACTCGAACCCACCAGCTGCTCCCGGGAAACCCTATATAGGGTCACTGTGATCAGACGCTATCAACAGCGCTTCACAACAACGAGGACACGAAGAGAAATGAGAATACTGAGAGAACTTGACTGCAGTCAGCCGCTAATCAAAGACATGCTTGAATAGATTTGTCTGGAATAAATCCAGGCATGTATGAACTGAACCCTACTAGTAATACTTTTTGCCTTACTGAAATGAAAACATATCATAAAAGTGGTAAAAATTAAATTATTTGGCTATGGTGAAAAAGAAGGGATTAAGACAAAAGTTTACCTACTGGGAGATGTTCAGATACAGTTGTGTTTTGGAGCAAAATGTACTCTCCGAAAATGACCACAACTATCTCCTACAGCTCAACTTCTTTGTACAGTGTGCCAGGAAGTTCCTGTCATTAAGCGACGGAAGTCTATGTTCCCTCCCCTGGAAACTGGGGGAGCCTGTGACTATGGGACAGTGGTGCTTGGTGACTTCTAAACTTAGGTTGTAAAAGGGGATGGGGGTCCAGATTTCACCTGGCTCTTAGGACACTCACTCGTGGAGCACAGTCACCATGCCACCAAGGAGTCTATAAAAAGGAACTGCGGTCACAGCGGACTTGGCTGAGCTCCCAGCCAAGAGCGAGCCATTCTGGAAGGGAGGAGCCCCTAGGGCAGTGGCTCCAGAGGACATCGAGTGGAACAGAGATGAGATGGCCCTACTGGGCAGCCATCGACTAAATGGCACATATGTGATTAAAATAAGAAATGATCAGTTTAAGCTCCTAAATTCTGAAGCATCAGATAACGGAGAGTCAGACTGGAAAGCAGGGTGCTGCTGTAACAAAACTCTCGCCTCTGTGGATGAGGCAGTAAAAGAAGCTAGAAAGACACTGAGAAACACGGAGCAGGAAAATCTAAAGGGATTGTAAAAAGCTGAAAGGACTTTGGTGAGGAAAGTAACGATAAGAAAGCTTAACGCTTGTTACTGGCGGATAGAGGAGAGAAGACTCTTAGTATGTAATGGTGGAAAGTTTTAGCAACCCTGTCACCTGCAATAATGCGGAAAAGAAGAAACGCCCTAATCATTTCAATTATCTAGTTAAGGAAATTTCACTGCTTGTTTTTGTGGTCTATGATGTGCTAAATAACAAATGATTAAACATAAAAATCCCAGGACTTCCTGAGTTTAAAAATAAAACTCTTCATCATTCCTACACAAATTGTTCTCAATCTCAGGAAAGACTTCAGGCCCAAGATCACCTCCAGGGTAGACCCACAGATCTATCGTTAAGACCTCAGAAAGAGCTCAGGTGGTACCTCACAGCTTTCAGACTGACAAAGTCCCTCCAGGTCTTCATTCAACAGGAGGGTTCTGAAGGAGCCCTGCCCACCCCACAGTCCTCTCACAGGGGTCCCAATGCAGAGAAGGGCTTTTCTCCAGTTTAAGTATATTATCATCTGACACACAAAAATTCTACAGCTTTAAAAATCAGCTGTGATCGAAAGCAACAGACACAGCACACAATGCAAAGAGGCTTCTGGACCCTGGCATTTCCATGGTCAGAAGCATGGGAAAACTACTCAAAGGTAAGTATGGGTTATATAGGTATAGAACCAAATCGAGCTACCAAGAACTGGTAGTGTGTGCCTGGCTGGATTTCAGCCTTTGGAATGGGAACGGCTACAT